TGTGCAGCTCTGTGGACTCACTGAAAAGGCTCATTCACACATGTCTGCTAATCAGATTAAAAAATGAACCATGATAATCCACTTGCACCATTACTGAACAAAATGATTAACCCTTTAAATACAGCGTGCATGTTTTATGTTTTTGTCTTTGTCAGTTTCTGGATATTGATCTGTCCATTGCTAATCCTGTGAAGGACACACAACCTTTGACGCACAAGTCAACAATCTGCAAGAAACCATGCTCACATTGTGTTCCAGAGACACATTAATGAGATCTTCAAGTATCTCAGGGAGGAAAGATCAAAGGTAGACAGACAGCGCCATTTAAATTAGCCTCTTGTTTGTCGGTGGGTTGTTTTTTTACGAGCCGTTTGATTTGATGGGAACAGACAGAACAAATCAGTGTGGACTGCAGGGAGTCACACCCTGACACTTTGAGACAAAGTCACTACAGAAAAATACTGGTGACTAAAGAACAGACTCACACATTATAAACACACAGAGACCTTTCAGCCAATGAAAGAGGCTCATAAATACAGTAGAAGACAAATGTACAATATACTTATAAGAGTCTTATGAGTAGAGAAAATTGTTTGATATTCGATTTTTTTCATGGGACTTTAGGAACTGTTCAACGCAGAGTTGAAGTCAAGTCAAAAACTAACCGAGACCAAGACATACCCGAGACTGGAGTGCTCAGAGACCAAGACAAGTCCAAGAGATTTAGGGATCGAGGCAGAGTCAAGACCAAGACCAAGGCAGGGCAAGACCGAGACAAGGGCAAGACCGAGACAACACCAAGACCATAAATATGAATAAAAAATCATCTTGTGTGCAGCAGGCGTGCCACTCTCTTAGACCATAAGGCCGGAAAGGTTGGGGCCGTAAACATGGGAAAAAAATCAAATAATAAATCAATTGAATTAATTTGTTCTTTTAGAAACAGGCATTCTCCTTCTAAACACAGTAATGACGTGGAAAAATAGCCTGTCTGTAGTGGTCCTGATTTAAAATCCAGAGTCTGCCCTGTCTGAGACCGCGACAAAACCGAGTAAACATGCTTTAGATTCCGAGACGAGACCTTCAAAAAGTGGTCTCGAGATCTGCCTTGAGACCAAGACCCATATCGAGTACTACAACACTTGTTCAATGTGTCAACAATTAAAATGCATGTTATTTTTCATACAAACTGTGTTTCTGCTGATTGCAATAAACTACAAAATATAATTTTAGAATGGTCTTAACCTGGAATCTTTTATGTCTGGGTGGTAATTTGAACGAACCAAATGTTGCAGCATCGTTTGGAAACTTGTTGGCAGCATATGCAGTCAGGACTAAATGTGCTGAAACGTGTGAACATTACAGATAATAAGGTAGAACACCACACAGAGGGGATGGAGACTGTGTGTGAGGTTAATGTTCTGTGGCGTGATGGAGCAGGACGGAGGCTGTGGGGGGGGTTCACACTCTGTGGGTGACGCGGTGGAACAGCGGGGTGTTTGACCAGCTGACCCACTACAGGTCTGTCCAACCTCAACATCCATCTGCTCGGCCGTCTGTCCTCAGACACCCCGAGGAAAGAGCAGTCTATCACCCAGCCCACAATGCATTTCAACATGACATACTAAAGTGTGGTTACCGCCTCTTTAATCAAAGGAAGAAAAACGCCGACGCTGATTAAACACTTCAAAACTATTCAGACTTCACACCACATCACTTCTGGCACCAAAATATTGTAACTTGCAGCAGATTCTGCATTCATGTGAAGACTCTGTTCATGGAGATATGTTTCTAAGCTCCTCAAAACATGTGTGTGAAGTGTCTTGTTCTAAATCCACTCTGATCCTGTATTTGATCATGTCTATAAACCCCTCTATTGCAGCCCCTCTCAGAACTAGAGCTAATGTTAAGGTAACTTCTACTGAAAATATCTGTATAAATGTGCACAAATGACGACAAGAGTATTTTAACTACAACTAAAGTGCAGAGAAAGGCAGAGGATGTGTTTCGAAGGAGTTTGGGTCAAGTTGTGTGTTTAGAGGAGACTCGGCCTCACCTCTGTGTTGGTGTGCTGCAGAGGTCGATGGGGATGAGCTATCTCTGCGCTGATCGATTGCAAATGAGAACTGTTCAGACTGAGGCTCCAGCTGTCCGCTGAATGAGAGGAGAGAAAAAAAATCAATGAGAGAACGATTGAATCTCTCAACTCCTATCAGAGAAAAGTCTTGTGCATGGGAAGAAATCAGTTTTGGTTCAAATTAGGAAGGCAAAAAAGAAAAAAACTTAATTGTATACAGCAAGCCAATAACACCAGTACAACGTCTGTTAGTCGACCAGTAAACTCATACGACACAGAAATAAATCAAGACATGAATTATTTATGTATCATTTGTACGACTGCGCTGGCTTCAATTTTCATCCTTTGCAGTCTCTTGATGCTAACAAGCTAATGTTAGGGTGTTTTCACACCTGTAGCTCGACTTGAAGCAAAGAGATCTGATGCCTGAACAACATTTGGACAGATGAGCCTCTTTGTCACATGTTGGAGAGAGCACTCACTGAGATACAGAAGCTTGTGAGTCTGTGAATGAGAGGGGCTTTCATCGCTCTGCTGAGCATCTTTGCATTAAGGCCAAGAAAGTCCAGGAGCAATATCTTAAAGAAAGGGCACAGCTCGGCAAAAGTGGAGGTTCTACTGATGAAAAGGACAAATTCCCCGGGTTCAACAAGCTGGGTAAAATTCTGCGAACTAAACAAGGTGCTGTGGATGTTATCGAGTCATGTGGCGTTACATCTAACGTCGGCTCTACTCGTAATGTTCAATTGGAGGGAGACGGTGAATTACCCTATCAGTATATTGTGCTGATTATCAGTGGTAATGGAAGTTGCCTAGTAGCTGTATTACTGCATCTATTGCGACTAGCTAACTACTCTGTGCATACTGTGTTGAGTCAACAACCAGTTCTGGTTGCTGCGTTGATTGCATTTTCAATCCAAACGAACCGCTCCAGGGTTTCAGCTGGACACAAGCGAGGAGGTCACCTCTTAGGCGATCTCGGCTCGCTTGTATTGTTCCTCATCAGAGAGTAATTGCTGTGGTCACATGTGTCAAAAAAGACCCCACCCAACAGGAGAAACACCCCGCTTCTTAAAAAGATCCAGGAGTGAAAGCACCCTTAGATTTTAAGAGTGATAATAACATTAGTCTTCCAAAGGTTTATTTCAGCATCTAAAGCATGCACAGGTTGAGTTGCTGAGCTTCCTTTTGTCAACAGTTCAGTGTAATGTAATCAGCACGGTGGCCTTGGTGATTATCTTTACTATTTTATTATGGCTTATAATAAGAAGTTCATCATGTTCCTCTCAGTAATAAGCAGGTATTAAATGAGCTCAGGTCTGAGAGAGGACATTATATGATGTGTGTGTTTGTGGTTTCTTTGAGGAAAAACCATGGAAACACAGTCATTGTTAAATGAAGAGGAAACTATTAGAGCTATTTTAACTCAGAAGTATTTTAGTTCAGAAAAATGAACATTGTCGATTTGGTCAAAGCAAGAAAACGTCTTCCATTTATAATTTGTCATCTTACAAATGCTAAAAACATGATTTGACTCCAAAATCCAAATGTCTAAAGAAAATATCTAGATATTTAACTATTCTATTCTCTGTAATGCTTCTTGTGCCAGTTTGATCCTGTCAAACTGGCACAGACCCAGACCCCAACAATAAACAATCAATTTTAAGGACTCACAAAGGACTAATCAAAAGACAAAGCTGACTGAGGAGCGGCGGAGGCCCAGATGTTCAGACTTTTAGTCCCTCGTTTGCAGTTATTTTATTGGAAGCTTGTTATCAAGGTGTTAATTATCAGTTCATGTAGCGCTTAACTAACCTGCTGTCAGCAGGCAACCTTTGAAAAGTTTAAGTAAACATTGTTTTCTGTGCCAAAACGCTGGATTAATTTTACGATTTGTCCGTGCAGTGAGGCTGCAGAGGAGTGACCCTTGGACTTTATGCTTGTCACGGTTATACAAGTGGAACAGGTGCACTTTGGTCTCAAATAGAAAGAAGAATGAGAACATACCTGGAAAAGGCCAGATGTAACTGGAAGGAGCGTTACCACAGCTGACCCAGCGTGTGAGGAAGCTGTAGGAAGGTGCTAATGAAAATGTTTTCTAGTAGTATTCTGTTGTAAAAATACACTTGGTCATTGTTTTTCTTGTGACACAACTTATAAATGGTTTGACAGTGAACTAAATCACTGATTAGTAAATAAAGCTGTTCAGGTATGCATATGTAACAAATCTATATAAGCTCAAATATAAAAAGGTCATATCCACCTATATACCTCTTACCATTTATTTATTTTTTACTGTTTTCTCAAATCCATGTAAAACATGCTCTCACATTTCTGTGCAGTATGTTTGAGCTAATTTCCTCAACATGCTGTGTTGTGTGTAACTTTTTAGAGCTGGGAAATAAAAATTGAGAAAAACTAAATGACCTCTGACGTATCATCACAGTCCAAGTCTGTTTAATTTTACCCTACATCTTTCTTATCTTGAATTTCATTATGTTTTATCACCATTGACTATTTGTAGCCTTTAGTCTTTGTTTTTCTTTCCCTCATGAATTTGTCCTATTTGTTTCAGAGTTTTATTTATTTCCAACACTACAGACTTACTAATGTAGAGTGTAGTGAAGCCTACGTTAATACAAATGTAGAGATACACAGGTTAAGCCGGTTTTTTAACATCACAGGGTGGCTTTATAACATGGCAATGGAACTTTAAGTGTGTTTTTTTTGCCCTCATGTTACACTGTCAGGCCTCGGGTCGTGCCATGCTCCTTGCAGGTACTCGTGCAACGTTGTCCACGATCCTATGCGTTCACTGTAATCTTTAACAGAGGCGTGGTATGGAAGTACGTCGCTGTGGAGCATATTCTGCGCCCCTAGCAGACAAAGTTCAGGGTACAAACCGCACTTCTTTCCACCAGTCCTCCTCCACCGCTTGTGTGTGGGCGTTTCTCTCCGCTTATTGACATGTAGTAATATGGTTGTGCACACTGATCTTGCAGCTAAAGATAGTGACGATGTCTGCGGAGGCGGTGTATGACTGCATAGTGATCGGGGCCGGGGTGCAGGGCTCGTTCACGGCCTACCAGCTGGCCAAGAAGGGCAAGAAGACCCTGCTGCTGGAGCAGGTGGGTGTCACACACTCTCAACTCTGTCCCATAATATATGAAATACTTTTCTAGGTTATGGCTGTAAGTTAGACCCAAAAGCAGACTCAGAAGGGCTCTGACTTGACTGAAATGTTGCGTGTGAGACATGCAGTGTGACCTGAGAGTCTGTGCGCTGCAGGCAGCAGCTGGCCTTATCCGACAGCTCTGTGCCCCGCTGTGTACGGCCAAACATGACTGTGTGGTCCCTAACATGTGTCCACCTCTCTGCTCTGATTAATCTCAAGACAGGTGATGGGGACAGCTGTTTTTTTTCTCTTCTTATTGTATGTGTATTTATTTCATTTAATGTGTGTTCATGCATGACATTATGGAACCCCTCTGCAAAAACTGCTCTTAGGTTACGGAAACTAGAATGAATGTTTATCTCAACTCTTTATGATACAGTGTATCAGTGTACACATGTTAACACTGGATTTCAGGGCATCACAGATGAGCAGGGGGACAATCTGGTATGGGACCCTGCTGACCCAATTCCCTCCAGAAAGTGAGCAAAGTACAAACCAACATAAATTAAAGTTATGAAACAGTCTCTGCTTACCACTGATTTCTCTGTTTGATTCACAACAGCAAATATGACCACCCGTAAGAAAAATGGTCCGAATATAAGACGGCCTTTTTCCCCATCGAAATAGGTCCGAAAAAGTCGGGTCGTCTTATATTCGGGGTCTAGTATTCAGAGCGCAGCTTTAATTGTTCGCCTGTCCCTTTAAATGTCAACACCCATGACGCGCTCTGAGAGGAGCAGCGGAGTGAAGACAGTGAGAGAGAATGTAAGTAATATTTACAGTCTATGGAGAGAACACAGCGGGGCGGAGGACGTGTGTGAGGAATAGGAGACATCGGAGGACAAGTTTGGCGAGCTTTAGTTTAGTCTCTGTTATTTAAAAATGTTGATAATATTGCTTGATTTTAATGTTGAATCATACTGTACAGATTTTGACCTTGTGAAAAACTTAGTTTTGAAAAGTGCCGTAGCATATAACGATAAATAGGCCTACGTTTATTGTTATCATTATTACAACAACAGGTGTTTAATTCAATGTGTTTTTAATATTGTTATTTTCAAATAAAATGAAGTTCTTTAAAAAAAGTTCTTTACAAAAACAAGATCTGGTCTGCAAATCTTTTTTTTCTAAATATGAGTGTTGAAAAACAGGGGTCGTCTTATAATCAGGGTCGTCTTATATTCGGACCAATACGGTAATACTCATGCATGTCACTACAGTATAAAAGCTGAATAATACTTGTTTTGAACCATGACGCGGAGTGTTAACGTCTGGGACGTGCACTACCAATGCTCTAAGCCAATGGTTCTCAACTTGTCTAGCCTCAGGACCTACCACCAACTCCTTCATGAAAAATCGCAAAATTTATTTTTCGACCAATCAGATTTTTTTTTTTAACTGAAAAATTGTGCAGCTTGGACAACAGTCGGTAGAAAAACATGTGACAGAAGCAAGAAACTGAACAAAACTGAATGTTTAAAAAGAGCTTCATTTCACAAAAAGAGACTTTTTTTACACATTTTTTTTGCCAGGCACACATTTGCTCTGCAACCCAGGCTTAAGATCCCTGGGAATTGATTTAAAGAAAAAACTTTTTTTTTTTGCTAAGTTTGCAGTGAATAGTAGTCATAACAGTCAGCGGGAGGAGACTCAGCATTCAAGGGAATGTTATAACTGTGGCGGGTTTATCAGCAGAAATACTTTTAATATGCAACAAAATCTGTGAGCTGAACAAGGTGAATGAGCACTAAGCGAATGAGCAAAGATGTGCCTTCATCATATTACAATTACCAATCTTGCAAATGTTGTTTAAAGTATTGCATGAAGAAGAAGTATCATCTTGCTTTTACTTACTGAGGAAGAAAAGACTAGCTCGATCAAGATCTCTTCTTCACTTGAAGTACCGCTTTTTTCCACTGGGGGAACCAAAAACACACAAAAAGCTGGAAAAAGGGTTTGTCCACTTTTTAAGTTCACTTAAGTTAATCAAGTGATGTTACTTTTTATTTCTCTAGTTCGTGCTGCCCCACACCCGGGGCAGCTCCCATGGCCAGACCCGCATCATTCGCAAAGCCTATGACGAGGACTTCTACGCCCACATGCTGGACGAGTGCTACGAGCTGTGGGCTCAGCTGGAGAAGGAGGCGGGCGTCAGACTGTATAGGTAGACTCAGCACAAACACATGAGAGAAACCCCATTAAACAGAACATAACAAAACCCCAGCCAGAACATGGAGATTTGTCACATTCAAGGTGCTACGAGCGCACACGAGCAGCGACTCAATCTACAGAGCCATAAATGCATGACTTTCTCATTACCTCCAGCGTCACTGAATCACCCCGTGACACCTCCCATGCCTTTGGATGTGGAGCAGGGGGCTTTTTTTTTCATCTCGCTGAACCTTTGATTTTCCTTTCGCAGAGCGTGGAGGAATTTGTGTTTATAAATATGACAGTGGCTTCAAACTGTGGGGGAAAAAAAACCTTGCAGCAGCACTTTAACGTCCCTGCTCTGAGCGCGCCTTGTTTGTTTCAGAGATGGAGAATACAATTAAAGCAAGGGCATAGGGTTGGGAAGGGAAGAGAGGCATATATCACAAACGATATCCAGATACTTCTGTTGTTCAAATACATCAAAATATTAAACGCCAATCACCAATGCACTTTTCAACCTGCATAGGACAGTTCTGCTTATAGTCACCAGGGCCCTGATGTTTAAAAGATAACTAAAGGAATTATAGTTGTAGGTTAAGATAGTCTCTCTAAAAAAATCAATCAACATAAAATCATGCTGTGATTTAGATAGAAGTTAGAAGTGCTCAATCGGTCCAATCACACGTAGTACTGATTTAAAAGCAAAACAGTCATCATGGCGCTTATTATTATTCATTACATCGATTACCACAGCGTCCATGTCATGTCCTGCCTCCTTAGATTCCTCCTTACATTTGATTTGTGCAGTTGTTGATTGCATTTGGAATAAAACCACCATGTGAATAGTGGCAGTTTAAGTCTTGCTAGAAGGTAAACTACAGACAAGAAGTTTTTGCCATTTGTTACTTGAACGCATTATTCATTTAGACTTTTCTTGTGCATTACTAAAAACATTTCCACCAAAGTAAGTGTAAACAATATACTGCAGATTCAGAATATAGAAAGAATAGTGTTTCACATTCAAAACTTTTAGGGAAGAAATCCTGCTCACTGTGTGTCCCCATTAGCGCTGAAACAAATCACACGCCCTTGTATGGCTTCATTATTCATATCTCCGACTAATAGTTCCTGATATGAAGCCACACCCACATTATTTTCCCCTTAGAAACACAGCACACCTCCCCATCGCCTGTGCACCTGTCAACAGCTCATGACGGATGCGTCCACATCGAAGGCCATCTGTGCCCTTGGGTCGGTAAAAAAATGTCGGCATCCAGAAGAGAAATGAGCATAAGCACAGCCTCCTGCTTCTGCTGCCTCCGCCTCTGGGACTGATGGAGCCATTGAAAAAGGGCCGGAGCAACTAAAACCTGCCCACAAAACCTTTTTATTTTCCCCCACATACATGTCAACATGTGTGCACATCCACCCGGTGAACTAGTGCCACCAATCACCCGCTCTGACAGGTACGACTAGATGAGGTATCATATTTACGACCCTACATACACCCGCACGGTTTTTCCTTCCTCTGTCACACACTCGTAAACAGCCGAGCACACCGGCAGACACGGTCATAAAGTGTTCTGATGAATGGCTGCAGCCTTTAGCTGGGGTTGTCTGTGCCTCACGGCGGCTGACAGATGTCGGAGCAGCCTTTAGAAAACCATGCTGGCAAAGGGCGAGTCGAATATCTATCAGACAGATTACTGATTTAGACCCTGTGTTTCACAACCTCTCACTCCGGGGACTCAATATCTTCATACTGGAGCTGCTGTGGTCTGATGTATTACCCACCACTGGTCATATAAGGGCCAGTCACATGTTGACTGTTTGAAATGTTGTATTCTGCAGCCTTTATCTGAGAGAGGCACAGTGCAGTATATTGTGTGAAAACAGCTGCACTTGTTGCAGAGCGAAGCGAGTGTGCTTTTAAATAATTTCCCATGCCCATCTTTTGTGTCAAATGCTTTAATTTCTGAAAAATATATACTGTATCTGCAAATACCTACAATGTGTGAAACATTTTAAGTACCAGAGGCTCAGAAAGTTTGTCTGGCTTACATGAGAAAGTGAAGGTCTTGATTAAACCAACCGTCCACACTGACCTCCTTGTTACAATTTGTATTGCTGCAAGTCATCTGGAGAGTGTTGCAATATTAATTTTGGAACTTGATCGTATCGTTACATTAAACTCTAAATAAATATTTTTGTATTAAATCTGTATTCTTCAGCCTCCTACCATACAAATGTTTTGAAAAAAATGTAAAATTTCCACAGCATGCGTGCAAAAAAAGCTGCACTCTTTACAGCAATTCCCCTTTCCCTCCTTGGGCAGGTTATGAGTCAACGTTAACTATTAGATTACACAGAATGACTCATAAAAGTTGAGATATCTTCACAAGATGAGAAAGCTTAAATTAATATCGGCAATATTTTTTAAGAGACAGCAAGTCATGTGATTCACACTCTGAACCCTGAACCTTAATAACTCTTGCTGAATATTTGAGCTGCTGTCTCGGAAGAGAGGGGCCGCCTAGTTGTCCTTTGTCAAGTTTAATAGTTTTTTCAAGGTAGCATGGGAAGGGGGGCGAGGGCGTTTGTGAGGCAAAACATTGGTTTTGATGACCCTGAGCTGCCTGCCTTCTGCTGCATGAAGGTAAAAATAAGCAACAGCCTCCATTTTCATTACCATGATATAGTGAAAAGCTGCAGGGACAGATCCTTGAAGTAATTTTTTGGGGGAGAATATCCGCTGTGGCTTGACTAAAAGGTTAATAGAAAATCTTCTTTCAATGCTACCTATCAATATGGTAAAGACTTAGAGGTAAAAAAACACAGGAAACAGACGAGAGTTGATTGCTGAAAATGTAGTTTGAATCCCTGTGAAGACTTTGTAATCTCTATGTTCTCTTCCTTACTTTCCTTTGAAGTTTTAACCCAGTGATGACCATATTAATAAAATCATAGCGCCATACAAGTAAATCTTCCTGGCTTTAATGATAAAACTTTCTGTGAGATAGTTCCTGTCAGACCTCAGAGTGTAAAGCAAACTAAACAGGGTGAGTCGAATAAATTAACAAGCAACATATATCGTTTTCTTACTACTGACAGAGTTTTTGTTTTTACTCAACATGAAAAGAGAAGTCTGAATTATGTCATTACGATCTAAATCATAAAAACATTACAGTGTCATCAGCCTAGAAGAGAGATTTTTACACACATTTGGTTTGTTGTTGATGTTTAGAAAAATAATAGAGGATCCAAAAGAGCGCCTTGTGGAACTCCTGCATTAAAATGCAAGTGGGGAAATATTACAAGACCTATTGTAACCACGTGGGACTTAAAGAATAAGTAGAACTAGATCAATTTTCGCAAAGCAAGGAATTAAAATGTAGTTTGTACTAGTTTGTTGAGCAGAATCTTCACTGTATTATTAAAAGCTACACAAACTAGCTCATAAGACAGGTAATATTTGTACATTTAAGTCATTGGCATTTCCACCTTGTCAAATATCTTCCAAGATCTCATAATCATATATAATCAAGACCATCTGCTCTATCAGCATGTTCCATCATTTTATTCAGACTGCATATCCGGACTAGCCATTCGTAGAAATAGTTGTTTGAACCATAGATTGTATGAAACATTGAAGTAGTTTCACTTCCTAAGAGATGTTTTAAAGCCCAAATTGTAAATGCTGTCAAACTTACTTTGGTCAACCCAGGTTAACGGATTGAGGCAAGCCTCCTGACAAACAGCTACAACACACTGACCTCTCAGTCAAATCAGCCACAACTGTTATCATGTGAAACTCTGCAAAACTCTGTACCTTCACATAATCCAAACAGATGAGTTAACAGTTAAATAAATTAACCCCCTGTACAATTTTTTCAAATATAAAAATTATCAGTTTTTTTTGTACCAGGCTATAAACACATTTATGCTTTAGAAATCGGCCTTTTAACAAGAGGCCTAATAGGTATTCCTTGTCTTTTTTAGTGAACTGATTAACTGCAGTTCTTTGCACTTCCACACTAGCAAGTTAGTTTTCAATTGGAGAGGTTTCCTCTTTGATTGAACAAGAGCTTTATTAATCAGTCATATGAGTTTCTAATGAGTTGCCACATACAGTATTTAACAGGACATTCAGTCTGTCTATGTTAAAGTATCTGTTGTGCAATCAAGTGTCCCTGTACTCTAGTGTTTTCTTATAATATTCGGTATGTCTTATTTATTTTTAGAATTCCCTACTATAGGACAACTTGCACGTGTCCTGAACATAACATCACATAAAAATGCCACTGATCTCCCCTCTCAGACAAACAGGTCTCCTGGTGATAGGACCAGAGAACAGTCGATATTATGAACTGGTGAAGACCACCCTGAAGAAGAACAAGGTTCCCATGGTGGTCCTGACCAGGGACAACTTCAGCCAGCACATCCCCCACGTCATCCTGGATGAGGGTCACGGAGCGGTGGTGGAAGTGCCTGCTGGAATTCTGTATGCTGACCGTGCACTCAAGACTGCACAGGTACAACACAGATAGAGCATTAGCTATGTTAGCTTCAAAGACTGCAGAGTCCATTGCTATGTTAAAATGGAACGCTACTGAATAATGGGAATAATAACCTGATCAGAGAGACCGGTCTGATCCAGCCATGATAGAAATTACCGAAAGAGGGGGAATTAAATTTCTGGCGCTCAGCGAGGGGGCAAGCGGAGAAAGTAACAGCTTTTTTCTTCTTCTGCTTTATTGAGTAGATTCGACTGTCATTAGTTTCTATCAGGTTAATCCAAAAAAGATGAAAATCAGTCATCAGGAAATATTTTAATGTCCAGCCCAAAGATTATGATTATAGTTCAACTTTGTCGACTGAGACACATGTAGGCTTTTTGTTTTGCCAATTCCGATTTTACTGTCAAAATCCTCGGTCCAGTTCAGCCCTTAAATGCACGTGTGTTCCTTTAATTGCATAAAATACTTTTTCATACAAGCACTCTGGAAACTACAGTGTCATCTAAAGAGAATGGGAGGGGCTACTGGTGAGCAAGAAGAGTATTAAGCAACTTCCTTACGTGCACAAAGATTGCACCGGTCGTCACGTGATCGGTTCAATCTTTGTGCACGTAAGGAAGTTGCTTAATGATCTGTTGCATTCACACATCAGCTCACTCTGACTTCACACTGAGATTTTACAAGGGGGACAAAAGTTTGAGATGAAAATTTGGCTATTTGTGGTCTCATGTGGCTCACTACAGGAATTTGGAGAAAGTATTTTGTACGTGGGAATTCAGCACATGCGTTACTTTGACTAAAATCAAATTAAGGCTATTACAGAGAAGAATAAATAGTTAATTCCCCTGAATTTTTTATGTCAAGGATTCAGTATTTCCTTCATTCATATATATGAATGTACTCACAGTGTCTTCATCCCTCACATACTAAAAGGCATGAACATTTTTTTAAAAAGTCAAGTAGATTATGAACAAATGTACGCTATCTGATTCAATAATGGGTAATTAGCCGGTAAGCTGTTCAAAATGTATTCAATTAAACTTTTTTCAAGCACTGTACTTAACAAATGTACCTCTGAAAATGAGCCTGCAGGTAATGGAGGGAGGTGATAAAAGATGAAAGAAGCCAAACATTTTCTGATTTCATGAACAAAACCTAGATTGAGAATTTGCTCGAATTATACCATCGCTGCGGACTGTTAAACATATTTCATGCACATTGTTTTAATCCAATAATAGCTCATGCCAGGAATATCTTTGAGCAATAAATTCACATTAGCGCTCTGTGTCAGCTCTGAGAGGAAGCACTGGAGGAGAACAGACTCCTCCACGGCTGCCAGGTCAAGCACAAAACGCCGCTTTGTTATTTCAGGGAGGTGCCATTTTCAATCGACTGGACAGATTGTTCGTCCGCCTCGTCGTGAAGCAGCAGTCAATTATAAATTAAAGCTTGAAGTGATAGATGTGTAATAGATCAGGAGATTACTGCTTTGTGCATTTTCAAGCCCCGGCTCTTTAATAGCCTCTTGCCTATAATATTATGTCGTAATATATGTTGCAATTGATCTGTCTCGTTGAATTATCAAATTTGTAATGGCTTCTTCTTCCCTCGCTGAAAACAAACAGCTGGTTTTATTTTAGCCTAAAAAAACATGTAAATAATTTAAAAAAGGGTGCATATTTTTATAAGCCTAATAAATCGTACCTGTATCTTGTTTTTCGTGCTGACACATGCAACGTTTGAGTCTTGTGAAGTTTGCATTTACACTAAAAAAAATACAGCTTCCAAGATTTTACCACTGATGGATTCTTACTACATGTCTTTGCCTCTTGTTTTTTCCAGGGGCAGTTTCAGAAGTTGGGTGGGGTCATAAGAGATAAGGAGATGGTGACGGACATCAAGCCTGGTCCCGTGGTAACCGTTGTTACCTCCTCTGGTGCTTATCAAGCTAAGAGTGTGGTGATCACTGCTGGACCCTGGGCTAACAGACTGCTGGCCCACACTGGCTTGGAGCTGCCACTAGAGGTAATCAAAACTACTGCGGCGCAAATAATGTTCATGTAGCTGAGTAAAGATCAAGTGAAAAACTCTGGTATTGAAAAATAAAGCGAATGAGGTTGTGCAAAAAAAAAAAAACGGCAGTTCATTGAATGTCCACTTGAGGCTTGATGTCATTTTTTTGTAGCTGAATAAACATGTTTACAGCCTGGTACAAAAGAAACAGGTCTTTATAGCTCATTTCATTATTATCACAAACTTTAGAGAGGAGAATAGTTTTATATTTCATCCGTTTTGATTCTATTACGGCTATAAGTTGTTGATGATTTTGCATAGTTAGAGGCGTGGCTAAGTTGACTGACAGGTGGGTTGTAGCTGTTTGCCAGGAAGCTGAAGGCCCGCCTCATCCCCACCTCTTTTCCTGTTTCTAGATTGATTGACAGTTAGGTCGAGATTGCATACCAATATGACGAGTGCAATCATTGGGCTTCAAACCCCCTCTTCAGAAACCGTCACTAAGACTACATCAGTGTTTCATACAGTCAGAGGTGCTGCTTGTCAACAGGCAAGGCATGAACTGCTTGGGGCCCCAGACCAGTAAGAGCCTCAAGACTCAGGGGTTTTAGCTCACATAAAATGGGAGTTGCTGATCTGCTGCTGCCTTGACCAATCAAGTTTCAACTTCTTCTTCTCCATCTGTAATCCTGTTCCTCTCTCTTTAATCCTTACTAGGACTTTATTTAGTATGCATAATACTTTAAACGTCCAGCATAAAAGACACCACAGACCCAAATGCATCACTCCTCCGTATTTTAACAGCTTGACGGCCTTAGTCAGCAAAGCAGTCTTTTTCCATCTCACTATATGCCACACAGGCTGAGAAGAGAAGGTGATGGCAAAACAAGCAGACAGCTGTTAGAGAGGAGAATTGGAGTTTATATTGGAGTTGCATTATTCAGGTTGCGGCAGGCTTTGGGGGGAGGGGCTGAGGGAACGCCATGCCTGAGTAAACTGGTAGAAAAGCCCCGGCTCTGAGCACCGCCTGATTTTTTATAGTCCCTGGGAATGAGTGCACGGACGGTTAGTTCATTACACTGAAAGCTCCTGAACAATGTGTCCTTATCATCAGCTCCCTCAGATGGACGTCGTTTTACCACCATGTGTACATTTCATTAAATCCTCATTCTCACTTCAACACCGCCGAGCTGCTTTTTTTTTTAATCGCACTTCTATTAGACAGGAGGGAAAAAAAGGTGATGAGGAGGATGGAGGAGGTGGTGTTAGGTAGGTTTTTATTTAAGGAATTAACCAGAATGTACTTTCATAGCTGATAACAGGCTGCTAGTACTTCTGCCAGCCTGTTTCATTCATGTATAATCTGTCATTTCTTTACCTGTATTTGGCTTTAAGCCGCCTGCAGACTGTGCGATTTTTACAATATTAAAAGTTTATTGCAACCACTGTGCGACAAGGCTCGTATAAGTTTGGGTACAACATGTATGTACACAGCGGTACCTAGTGAATCATAGGCTGCAAGGCAAGTCAACCCCGGTCAACATGCAGTTTCATCTGTGTGGTTCAACCTGATCAAGCTGAGGTCGCCATGGCGGTCAGCAGAAAGCAAGCTCTCTTCATATTGGTGTTCATGTGCAAAGAAAATATAAGAAACAGAGGATGAAAAGAATAATGGGGACTCGTTGTGGCTTGGGAAAAGAGGCCAAATTGGGATGCCATTGTTGAAAAGATAAATCAAATTTGGTTCAAATCATAGACATAGTCTTAGTGATGTCACCCATTTGTTTCTGAAGAGGAACCCACCTGGCAGTCATCTCAGCCGTACCTCTAATTATGCAAAATGATAAACAACTTTTAGACTGATTATGATGAAAAAAGATTCATTATTGTTTTGTATATTCACCCCTGTACAGTGTGTAATAATACAGAAATGAGCTACAGTACAAAACTGATTTTGAACCAGGCTGTACACATTTTTTTTTTTCGCTGCAAAAACAGAAATTTCTTTTGCAGCCAGCCTCAAGTGGACACTCTACCAACTGCAGACTTTTTGCACCTACTCACTGGCTTCATCTTTCAACACTGAAGGTTGCTGCTTGGTTAAAAAAACAACGGTCATGCTCTCACTAATGGGGTTACTTTGGGGGTTTCTTTTCTCTTTTGGTTATAAAAAAAGCAAGATGGCCATATGTCAAAGCTGAGGCTTCAAAACTGGGGATTTGCAAACGACTGGGTGACATCAGGTCGGTACTGCCTTTAGCTTACATCAACAGTTTTTCCTTTTTTTCCCGTATTGCAGGTTGCAAAGATCAACGTGTGCTACTGGAAGGAAAAGGTTCCCGGGTCGTACGACATAGAGAAGCGTTTCCCCTGCTTCATACAGACGGAGTGTAAGGAGTCTAAGGAGCACATCTACGGCCTCCCGTCCAACGAGTACCCCGGCTTGATGAAGGTACGTCACAGGGCTGGACTTTACAGAGGAGAAATCCTCAATCCTGTACAGACCTACTCACATGTTCATAACAGAACAAAGCTGACTTTAATAAGAATGGTTCATGTTTTAATGTGATTTTCTAGCTGATCCTTTGGGTTCACTATGAGTCATCAATGTGTGAACTAGTGCTGTGTGAGCACTGAAGCAAACAGCTTTTTATCAAATTGAGAAGCATGCACACACACACGCACACACACACACACACACACACACACACACACACACACACACCCTCTTATACAGAGATGTGCTTTATTTTTAGCTTCCCTGTGCTAGCTCTTAACGATGGCCCACACACTTAATCCGTGATTATAAACTTGAAATAAGTAACATTAAAACAATTTGCCGTTGATGACTAAAACTATAACCACAGAGTAATTACTTTACACTTTGAAACAGAAACACTGCTGCAGAATCGACTGTAAAGTCTGCGTCAAGGTGTGAGCTTGTCGTGTTGTTTGTGTGAGTTTTGCTGCGTTTGATGTCATGAGATGGCACGTCTCTATTCTGGGCATTATGGTGGAGCAGCAGGAGCTCACAGCCTAATGGCAGACCACATGCACAGAAAAGAGGGGGGGACAGATGGCGATGACACGTCCCATTATTCACTCTGAGACAGTGTCACCACAGATACTGTATGTGTAATATTTAGACCCTTTAATATACAGAAACAGGTATCTTAGAATTAGTCTCTTTTTTTAGCTTTGGTTTCATTTCAAACTGCACGAACCTGTCAGAAAGTTTTCTACATCAGAACCTTCTAACAAAAATACAAAAAACTACTGAAAGAAAATAAAAAGTGCAGATTTTTAATCTGTCAGCCTCCTCGCTGTGCTGCGAGTCTGTTTGTGTCAGACTGGCTGACAACAGCAGAACACAGGAGCAGTTTTAAAGTATAGTGTGTGTATGACAGTCACTTATCCTCCTCCTCTCTTAGTGCTTTACCTTTCATACTGCAGCCTAAAAAAATTCACAGACATGTGAAAGATGCAATTTTCTGCCTTTTGCTCTGTACTTGTAGAAGGAGTAATACCTCATTTTCTGAAAAAAAAAAAAAACATTTAGATCAGAAGAAACAGAGCTGCCAGATTCAGATTCATAGATCTCCCCTGCACAAGTCGTGTAGAAACATTGCACGTGGGGGTTCGGTTATAGGGACAATACATATACATAAAAAAATGCATTTTCAGTCTCATTTTCTACCACAGTCTAAATTAGGGTTTTGATATATCAAACTATAGTAAAACCTGTTTGTTACCACAACAACAAAAATAGGAGTCCTAGGCGCATGGTTTGGACAGTTTCTTATAAGCAAAACTTGCAAGCAAACATTTTTGCCATATTTATGCTATATAAACAGTGCTCTCTCTCTTTCGCTCACAGAAGCTATTAATTCAAATAAAAACGACTGAAGATCTGAAGTTTTTCATCAAGCTTCGGTCCTTTTCAATACTATGGTGGAGAGTATTGTCATAATACTATGATGTGTTTTTGAAAATGATCAAAGTATCTTAAAGTTTGATGACTTTACACGTTCAAAGAAAGTATTCCACGAGGCTGACCACTGACATCAATAGCTCTCTTTTATCTGTATTCATCATTTAAATTGAGGGTCAGTTGACACTGTGTGAACATTTAACCACTGTAAGCAGGAATCATGTGCATTAAGTTGCATTAAACATGTGTCATGTGCACCATGTACATCCCATGACACCCAGCGGCCCTGGGTTCAAATCCAACCTTGGCCCCATTGCTGCATGTCATCCCCCCACTCTCTGCTCCTAACATTTCCCGTTTCTCTTCAGCTGTCATATGTAATGAAGGAAAAGCGGCCCAAAGAATATAAATAAATACAAATAAACACAAAAATCTGTGTTGTGTTGTGTAGAAATCCTGTTGAAGTCTACATGATGATAATTATTTATTATCTTCTGGACCAAGAAACAAAAGAGATACTTGGTATGATCCAAACTTCTCTTACTTTATTGTTGTTCGTATTTAAATTAATTTTTGTTTGAACCGACATGGTGTGGTTTTGGATACTTTTTGACCATTTTATCCTCTGAACATTAAAGATGCAAATACAGTTAATCATAGATTACGGATCTTGACAGCAGTTGTGTCTCCTCTCAAACATGAAACACATATATTCTAATTGCACCGTTTTATTACACACTGATAAACTGCTTGTGGGTCTCAAGTCCAACATGTGTCTCTCAAAGTTGATGCATTAAAGCAGGCTGTGCAGAGATTACAGGAAAGATTGTGCATTTCTCAGGGACAATCAGATTGGTGTTTAACTGTTCGTCCTCTCTGTGCAACACAGGCTTCAAACTGCGTTTTTAAAAACTGAAATGTGAACAGATCGAGTGAAGCTGCTCCTTTAAACAGGAGCCGGTGTTCTGCAGAGGACTTCTGGGTCTGCTTGTTGTTATTTTCATTCATAAGATGAGAAGGTGTCAGAACACATCAAGGTGTTAATTATTCAAAGACCCTGTGGTACTAAATTCAACATAGATAAATACAGAATTTATCCTTTTAGGAAATAATAACGAACAATAAACATAACGAACAGAAAAATGTGCATTAAAACAGAAAAAGCACTTGGAGAAAAGTATGCAGGGTTGACAAGAAGTAATTATTTCATTCAGAGATTAAGTTAAATGTCATATTGTGTGTGCAGATCTGCTACCATGCAGGCAGCGTGGTAGACCCGGACCACAGAGACCAGCAGACAGACCGGTCTGACATCGACATCCTGCAGCGCTACGTCGCCCGCTGTCTACCCGGCCTGGAGCCCAAACCTGCTGTGGTGGAGAGCTGCCTGTACACAGTCAGTACTAACACTTAACATCACACTGTTTCTGTTCATGATAATCCAGTGCAATGATGTTTTCAGTTTAATGCTTACGGAGGAAAAGGAATGTGGTTATTTGTTGTGCTAAATCCATTTAATGCTGGCAACTACTACACCTAACTACTGATACGAGAAGAGGTTTTTTATTGGGCAGATTAAGTCACCTGTTGAACAAACTCTGACTTTTTTAAAATGTCAGACATGAGAGAAAATGGTGCATTGTGGGAGTCTTACACCAAAAGAAGTAATAACAAACATTGGTTCTCGGCTACATTGTTATGTCAAAACATCAGTATCGACCGTGATTTTCTCAATCTGCCGTCTCCATATAAAATGTTGTCTCATGGCATTTTAAAGGGGACATATTATGGAAAATTCACTTGTACAGTGTTTTTAAACATATATTTGGGTGAGCCGAGTGTCTGCCGACCCACAAAATGAAATAAACCCATCCAGTCCGTTGTTTGTGATCTGCATAAGTCTTACAACACCTGTTCTCATTTAATTTTTCATTTATTCATAAAATTGCTGCGTGCCTGAGAGAGCAAGAGGTAGCGGGGGAGAGAGAGAGAGAGAGAGAGAGCGCGCGTGAGAGTGCAGGCGTGCGCTCCGCAGGCTCAGTGCAAACAACGCCGCTTTATTATAAGTCTCTGCGTTCAACATAGCAAAACTGCCTTTTTAAAAAAAAATCCCTCTCGACTCCTACGGAGTGTTAACTTAGACTTAGACTTTCTTTGTTGTCATTCAAACTTGTACTTTATAGTGCAGATAAGAACAAAATTTCGTTGCATTTGGCTCGTTGTAGTGCAGGATGAAAACAGCAGCATGTATTTACATATAAATATAATTTTATAAATAAAAATAAGGTGCAGATATAAATAGATATAAAAAGAAAAACTATGAGTAAAAATACTATACAGATAAATATATTGCACGTTATATTGTATTTTACAGTCCAGTGAGGTAGTCCTGTGTGGGGGTTTGAGGGGGAATGGAGGGATTATTTTTTCCTGTTCAAAAGTCTTATGGCCTGTGGGAAGAAGCTGTTACAGAACCTGGAAGTTCTGCTTCGGAAGGCTGCGGAACCTCTTTCCAGAGTCCAGCAGCGAAAACAGTCCTTGGTGAGGGTGGGAGGTGTCTCTGCTGATTTTCTGAGCCCTGGTCAGACAGCGGATCTCCTGGATGGGAGGAAGTGGAGTCTTAATGATCTTTTCTCTTTTAAGACATTAAAAGAGAGCAGAATCACATCAGCTTCAGCGCTACAGAGAGAGAGAGATAGAGGGAGGGGGAGCGATAAGGTCCGCAGTCCGTACATGCATCAAAACTGAAGCTTCTCCTGGCTCCGTTTAAAAAATGTTGATGTACAGCTGCTTGCTGCCGATTGTGTGCTGATTGATGTTCTGTTAATGTTAATGTCCGCTATAGTTCAGTACTGAAACAACAGCAAGCAGCAGATATTCTGTTAATGTAGGCCTACAGCTGCTTGCTGTTGTTTCAGTTCTGAACTATAATGGAATATCGAGTGGAACTTTTCAAAACACGAGGCGTACTCCTGTTGTTGTTTATGTCTGTGCGCGAGCATAAATTGAGCAGATTAAAGGTATTTGTTGCAAAAACTAGATTAATTTAGAGGGGAAAACACATTTGATATAAATACAACCCAATAGATACAAGACAGATAAGAGTACAACAAAAAAAAAATAGTCGTTTTATGCTGAACGGGTTTGTTTTTTATATTGTGGAGATTTCTTTGCGTACCACCACAGGGAGCCCACGTACCACCGGTGTTACGCGTACCATAGTTTGAGAACCACTGTTTGAAAAGGTGGAGAAGGGCTGTAGTATGTCCTCTTTAAAGTGTCTTGATGCAGTGTTCATTTTTACACCCATGTGCCCACCCACACTGTTGAACTAGCAAATGAACTTGAACCTCCGTTAGCAGCTATTGGTGTGTTTGTCTTTTGCTTAAAAGGTGCAAAAGGTGGTGTGTACCAATTCCAACGCTGTATTTCTATTGAAGATAAAACCATTAAAAAAATCCTTTGTACTCAAGATTTGTTTTTTATAACACAATTTTATGGATATCCTCAGGTTTTATTGTTTATTCATTGACATGACCTTTAAACTGAGGTCATACAGATTTGAGGGTTGTAAAACGTTCTGTAGTCTTTTCTGTGAGTATCTTTTAATGTCTGCACTGGCAGCATGAAAGGGGTTAACTCAAGCCAGTAATAAGAGTGAATCATCAACAAAGAAGTTAAATTTTTTTATTTCAGGGCAGTAAGATCGCTGATGAAGCGTTTAGCTGTTAGTTTTTAGTTTACTGCAATTCTCAGGTGTTAGATATGATGTGTGTGTGTGTGTGTGTGTGTGTGTGTGTGTGTGTGGTTGAGCAGCCGATCTGCCCTCCAGCACCACAGCGAGCAGCTTGTACCACCATCACACGCGGCGGCTGTAGGAAAGCATAATTTCTGTGACCTTGTCCAATGCCCCCTGAAATCCTGACAGTCACGCTCTTTTCTCCTCACATCACAGCGTCTGTTTTGTTCCATTAACAGAGATTCTTTAAAGAGGACGCAGAGTTAAATTACACACATCTCTGTGGTTTGCCTTTTGTCTGAGGTCATTATGTAACTCTCAGATTCAGACTCTGTAATCCAGTTTAACACATTTTTAAACACATTTTCCACAAAGACTTTTGACAGGAACAGCTCCGAGGCCACATGGCTGCATGGAGGGTGTGTGTGTGTGTGTGTGTGTGTGTGTGTGTGTGTGTGTGTGTGTGTGTGTGTGTGTGTGTGTGTGTGTGTGTGCTCAGATTTGAGAGATTCCGTCTGAAGTTTCAGGTGTTTATGTATTTTTTCTCGTCTGTAGCGTTGATCGTCTCAGAGGATGAAGTGTTTATATTCTCACACGTCGTAGTAAATAAAGTACGACGAAGACACAGAGTGAATGAAATCACAAATCTGCCAAACAGCAGAACGAGGAATCTGGTGCACACAGTAACCACGGGAATATGACATCGACAGAAACTCTGAGCAAGAGAAACGAGACTGACAGAATATTCCTGAAAGTCAAAAAGTTAAATTGTCAGAAATAGAAGCTGTAGGAGGCGATGTGTGTTTCATCATTGTGATTGTGATTGGTCCATAGGTTAGTATACTGTGATTGGTCCATAGGTTAGTATACTGTGATTGGTCCATAGGTTAGTGTATGGTGATTGGTCCATAGGTTAGTATACTGTGATTGGTCCATAGGTTAGTGTACTGTGATTGGTCCATAGGTTAGTATACTGTGATTGGTCCATAGGTTAGTGTACTGTGATTGGTCCATAGGTTAGTGTACTGTGATTGGTCCATAGGTTAGTATACTGTGATTGGTCCATAGGTTAGTGTATGGTGATTGGTCCATAGGTTAGTGTACTGTGATTGGTCCATAGGTTAGTGTACTGTGATTGGTCCATAGGTTAGTATACTGTGATTGGTCCATAGGTTAGTGTACTGTGATTGGTCCATAGGTTAGTGTACTGTGATTGGTCCATAGGTTAGTATACTGTGATTGGTCCATAGGTTAGTGTATGGTGATTGGTCCATAGGTTAGTATACTGTGATTGGTCCATAGGTTAGTGTACTGTGATTGGTCCATAGGTTAGTGTACTGTGATTGGTCCATAGGTTAGTGTACTGTGATTGGTCCATAGGTTAGTGTACTGTGATTGGTCCATAGGTTAGTGTACTGTTATGACTGTATTGACTTAAAGCTTTTTAGTTTTTACAAATGGAAACGATGACAAGGCTTAATGTTGAAATACATTGACACTCACAGGTTGATAAATATTGGTCCAACAGCCTTCATCTTCTCATTTTTAAAGTTTAAATCTGCTGGTTATTCATGTTTTTGCTTACTATGTTTTGTTTTGTTGTAGCTAACACCTGACCGTCACTTTGTGCTCGACTGCCATCCTACCTACAGCAACATTGTGATTGGAGCCGGATTCTCAGGTAACAAAACACGATGTGATGCATCACAGCAAAAATTACTTTGAACAAACTTAAGTAAACTGGACTTTTCAGCTTTGTTAGCTGGATATTCCAGCTAACGAAATGTAGCTTTTTCTATTGACACCTGTTGGTATGTGAACAAGTAAATCAATGCTGTTGGCATTTTGAATTCAGTAACTATCCCGCGAAGCTGCAGCCTGTTGACATCCCAAACCTGCACTTCTCCTGCTGTGAGAAGGAATTAAGAACAGTTATGAAAAGGCAGCTGTACAGTTGTATTGATCAGACTCAACGTACAGCTGTCATCAGATCTACGAGGCTGTGTGTTGTCATTGTGTGATTTGCATCAAATTGAAACACATTCACAATGCAAAGTTCGCCGGCTGGTTTCTGAAGCAGCACTTCTGTGAATTATTTTTCTTCATTTTTATGACCTTTCAGACATTTCTGAGTCATTTAAAGTAAAAAGAGGTCAAAGTAAAAATATGTACGCAGTTGCTAAAGGCGACTGTAGTGAAAGCTAAAGGTAAATTGTCAGACCCCAAACCTTTGTTGTCTTACTGTCATGACCATTGCCAAAAGGTCTCAGCCGATGGCATAAAACAGATGGCATATTGCCTCACTGAAAGGCTTAAAAACACGACTATACATCCACATTTACTGATACATTTCTGATAGATATATTGCAGGCAAACTGCAAAGGATGTTGCCAATGTAATCTTGATATCTTTATCTGTCATGATTAAGTCCTATGAGCTGTGAATGGACCCACACTGCTCTTTCTCGCAAAATACTTTGGGCTTAAAAATATGACTTCAGTTTTGTTTTTTAAAGATTTGGTACTTTTTTCGAATTCAGTTGTTCATGAAAAAATCATATAATTGGGTGCCTCTGTATCCTCGTGGTTAGTGCACGCACCCCATGCACAGAGTCTATAGTCCTCCAAGTGCGTGGCCCAGGACCAAATCCAACCTGTGGCTCCTTTCCTGCATGTCATTCCCTGTCCTCTCTCTCCCCGATTTCTGACTTGTATCAACTTTCCTGTCTCTGCATGAATAGCCCAAAAATAATAATTCAAAAAAGATGCATAGTTTAAAAAATGTGGCGTCTAAAAGAATCAAAGTGTCAAACGTTTTGTCAACCATACTGGACACCGAAGTTAAGGGAGACAGCTCTCTCCAATGTTTTGAATTTCGACTGCAGTACCAATTTTAAACGCTAGGTGTCAGAGTTACATATTGCTCCTTTAAAAATATAGCTGTTTAACTGAATGTTTTTCAGCTTTTGTCATTATGCCTGCAGTCATTGCAGTTAGTTAAATGTCTGTTCAACATTTAATGACGATCTGTCAATTAGCTGGTCAGGTATTGAAGTCTAGAGCAAACTAGTGGAGTCCCCTGAGACTTGAAGAATAACAAGAAACACAAGGGTCTCTGTTTAACAATCAATACAAGGACTAAAGGCACATGTTGTGTGTGTTGCTCTTATCGAACAATCATTTCTGAAAAAGGAAAAATGCCACGAGGAGCGTCTTTAAAAAAGAAACGCAAACACAAACATTGTCTGCGTTTTCAAGGCAGTGGAGTAGAGTACAAAACATCGACGTCTAAATGAAAATGTCAGCAGCTCGAGAAGACAAAGAGCAAAGAGTAGTGAATCTGGCACCTTGTACACCAGATGTGTGCTGATGAGAGACAGCACCCACACAGCAGCGGCAGCTAAATGAATCAGCATTACTTGTTCTCTCCTCACCCTGAAGGAGCAGAGCCAAGCAGCCAAGTGGAGCTCAAACATCAAGAGCTCCAGCAGTACATATTTGTGAGTCTGTGGTTAAGAGAGCAAGATTACAGTGTATGAAGGATCTATGTGACAGGAGGGAAAAGAAAGGAAGCTAGAGTAGGCCCTGTAAGCAATGGTTGCTTTCTATTTGTAACAGACTTTAATTCAAGATGCTTTGTTAATAAAATTATCTTCTATTACTGTATGAGTATATTTAATACCATTTTGGGAAAATCCTTTTTCCTGAACTGCTCCTGTTTTAATCTAATCTAATTATCTTTCATTTTCTCAATTCACCGTTTCTCCTCACGTCCCTCACTCGCATTGTTTGCATCGAGGAGTGAGGAGGCTAATTTACCTCATATACAGCATCCGTCTGTCTGACCCGACGTCAGGCACCGATAACGAGCATCAATTCACATGCCGATTCACATGTCAAACTCAAGGGGCAACCTCCGGTGTTGAAAAATGAAGCCAATGCAGAAGTGCAAAATCCTGCAGTTGGTTGAGTATCAACTTGAGGCTGGCTCCAGGAGACCTGGAAGTCACATACACACCAGATTCAAAAAAGCCAGATTAGACAGCAGAAATGAACATTTACCGTCTGGTTAATAAAAACGATATTGGTCTGATTAGTTCATGTTCTCGTGGGCACACACTATACGGGGTTGGTTAGGAGCTAGGCTGACCTGATTGACAGACAGGCGACCTGTATCTGTTTGTCTGAGGGCTTAAAGAGCCCATATTCTGCCCTTTTTTTGGGGTTCGTATATTTAATCTATGTACCTGAAAAACACACTAAAGAGCATATAAAACCAGAAAAAGCGAAATATGGGACCTTTAAAACCCGCCTCAGCTCCAGCTCTCAGCCTGTCGTTAGGGTGAGACAGGATTTCCAGCATGGCGGCTGCTGCCTATGAGCCTCTAACCCCCCCCCTGCAGGAACAGATGGCTGATGTCACTCAGACATCCATTAATATCTACAGCCTATTGTCGAACCCCTCTGTAAAGATGTTCAGGGAACCTTTCATTTATAAAAACATTTTGAAACCTTTTGGTTTATTTCACATAAAGAAACACGGGTTCAATGAACCGCACAGTAAGTTATTGAAATATGTTGTTTCCTGGAGACCTCGGGAGAGATTTCTGTTTTATCTCGTTTTAGGTACAGAGATATTTCCTCGACATGATTGGCATTTATCTGCAAAAACTCCAAATGCAAGACATTAGAAAATTCAAGTATGCTCTCTATAAATGTTCACTTCTGCAAATGTGGGATGCCAAGCTAACTTGTCAGAAAGAAAGAACGTTCTTATAGAGACAAGAAAGCAGTATTTTATCTTATCTTTGTTTCTGCTGAGTTAGAATAAAATCCATCCATGACCTCTGGACTGAATGTACAGACATGAAACTGATATTATCCTCTCGGCTAACTGTGGCTAGGATGACAAGGTGAGAGTGTTCCTTCAACAGTATTTGTTAACAGAACAGACGACTATTTATGGAACATGTGAAAAAAATAGGATCTACATTTTTTTTTAATTGTTTGAAAGACCCCTGGTGGACACTTTGGCTGAATCAGAGCTGATTGACGTACATTTTGTGAACTCCAGGTCACTGTAAATTTCAGACTACTTCCTCCACGGCTGCTGTGCTGATGACTATTGCCTCTGTACATGGGCCGTCATACAGTAACCACTAGGCTTTCAGCGCCCCAGGTTTTTGATTATTTTCCAACCAAACTGGTGCACAGCAGAGATGGGGAGGACTATAACATTGTAGATTTACACTAAAAAGAACATTTACCTGTTAAAATGTAGGATATCCTTTTAACAAAATGAATTATGAATCTCTAATTTGATCTTGCTTTTTCAGAGAGCACGGCTCGTACGCATTCCAGCATTTTCCGTCTTTCTTGACGGGACAGATGTTGAAGTTATTCAATTATTATTTTAACACTAAATAGGGGGCCAATAATTGAGCCCCAGACTTCCAGTTGTTTGTCAAAAGGTGTTGCAACACCAGGCTTGTAAAAGGGACTGAGCCTTTAAATGGGATGAGCTTTTATTTTAAGTTTATTTAAGATTTTTGAGACATAAGTCTTAAAACTTTTGAGACGATAGAAAGCGACCAAGACGAGTGCTATTATGCAACACCACTTTACTAAACTTAAACTACAGTGCAGCCTGTGAGGGACATGAATTGTATTCACTTTTATTATAAATACAAAAATCTAAGACATTAACAGTGCTTTAAAATTACATTTCTATCACTGGTCTCTCTGGATAAATAAAATAATGTGTTTTTCTTTTTAATCCACTATTTCTTAAGGGCTGATAAAACTCTCAAGAAGATGATTAAAAAGAGCTGTTTAATTTGATAAACCAATCTAACTTCTGTTTGAAGCTTTATCATGTGAAAACGTTCGACATTAAGAGCCCATACAGAAGGAGATCCTTACATTCTAACACACTGTTCAGAGCTACGGGGTCTTACCAGACCACCAGAACCTTCCACGTATTCTAAGGACAAAGATCTTTAACTTTTAATTAGAGAGGTTCTTGCTCATTGTTAGGGGGGGAGCGTCTCTGCTTTGGGTCTCCTCTCGTGTTCTTCTTCTAATTAACATGGCTGGAGCCCCCAGAAGGCCGACTGCGCTCCACCTCTCCTCTCCTTCAGTTACCTTCAGCGTCTCCTGGCACTTTTCCATCTCCTCCTGCACTCATGTCCTTTACCTAATTATATCTGTAATTAATATCCTGCTCACAATGCTCTGCCTCCAGAGGAGCTCACTGAGATAAAGGCACTGACATACTAAACAGCCACTATATAAAAATGTTGCACAAATTAACTGCATAATAACTGCTGAGCCTCATGAGTCCTGAAACTAAAACGCTTGTGACCCTGCTTTCATACCAAAGGCAGAAGTGTATCATTGTGCAACTAAAGCCATATTTTATGAATCAATGGTTCAGCAGATTTGTACTTCTTCATTGATGCTATGATAGACATAGCAGCATGCAAAGATGAGATGAGATGAGATTCAACTTTATTGTCATTACACATATACAAGTATAGAGTAACGAAATGAGGTTTGGCATCTCACCAGAAGTGCAAATAAGCAGAAAGTGCAAGAGTCTGTGCTATGTACAGTAATTACAAAATTTACAGATGTAGACTAAAAAAAAGTGAATTATTAGGTATATATGGATGGCTGGATTAATGGGATGCTATAAATATAAATAAATGCTATAAATATAAGTGTATTCTTAGGATTATAATATACAGATTAAGGTGCAGTGAGCATGCTATACTAGTTTACAGATAATATAAAGAATATGGACATAATATGAACATACTATAATACAATAATACAGGTGGATGAGAGATGTGTGTGTGTAACCAGGAGGAGTGGTGGGGGGGATGATGGGTGTGAGGTGATATGCAGGGGAAAGGGGGGGGTCAGCAGGGGGCGGAGAGAGAGAGGGAGAGAGAGAGGGAGAGAGAGAGAGAGACAGAGTTCAGAGTTCGGGGGGCAGAGTTCAGTAGAGAGACAGCTCTGGGGAAAAAGCTGTTCCTCAGTCTGCTGGTTCTGGTCCAGAGGCTTCAGAAGCGCCTACCGGAGGGCAGGAGGGTAAACAGTCTGTGGGCAGGGTGGGAGGAGTCTTTAAGGATGCCATGAGCTCGCCGCAGACAGCGTTTTCTTTGGACATCCTCGATGGCAGGAAGTGGACACCTTGTGATGCGCTGGGCGGTTTTTACCACCCGCTGTAGCGCCTTACGGTCTGCGACAGAGCAGTTTCTGTACCAGACTGTGACACTGCTGGTCAGGATGCTCTCAATCACACAGTGGTAGAAGTTCATCAGTACAGCTGAAGACAGGTGGTGTCTCTTCAGTGTCCTCAGGAAAAAGAGGCGTTGATGAGCCTTCTTAACCAGACTGGAGGTGTTAGTGGACCAGGAGAGGTCCTCTGTGATGTGGGTCCCCAGGAACTTGAAGCTGGAGACAGCCATCCCGTTGATGTGAATGGGGTTGTGCGTGCTTCCTCTTTCTCTCCTGAAGTCCACGATGAGCTCCTTTGTCTTACTGGTGTTGAGGAGCAGGTTATTGTCAGCACACCAGGCGGCCAGATGCTGTACCTCCTCCCTGTAGGCCGTGTCATCGTTGTTGCTGATGAGGCCAATCACCGCCGTATCGTCCGCAAACTTGATGATGGTGTTGGATCCATGTACAGGTCTGCAGTCATGGGTGAAGAGGGAGTAGAGGAATGGGCTCAGCACACAGCCCTGTGGTACGCCTGTGTTGAGTGTGATGGTGGTGGAGCAGGTGTGTCCTGACCTAACATACAGGGGTCTGTTGGTCAGAAAGTCCATTATCCAGTGACGGAGGGAGGTGTTGAAGCCCAGGTCTCCGAGTTTAGTGTTTAACTTGGAGGGGATGACAGTGTTGAATACTGAGCTAAAATCAACAAACAGCATTCGTGCGGGATGAGAAACTCATCATAGGCCTCATTTTCTGCCTCGATATTTACCTTTTTGCGTAGTGTCTGAGATCACCTGGGCATTTGTAGTGAAGGATTGTTCAAGGTGGCACATCTGTTCTTAATTTTATGGTTTTTAAAAACAGAGAAGTTCAGCTCCTGGGCAATAGGATGATGGTCCGCAGATGTAGTGGTTGTCCATTTTTTGAGGACTGAAATTAAACTTGTGTCTTGATGCTACACAAAAGTGAAACATGTATAATGTACAAATGTCAGAATTTTAAATAGAATAAAAAAAAACCTGAAACTAGAGAATTAAACGTCCTTTTATCTATTTATTTAAGTATTTTATTTATGGTTTGTTCGATAGGGACAGATACCGTATATAGAGACAAAGGAAAAACAGCCGGTGTTGGTTTCTGAGACCAGACAAGTTGAGAACCAATGATTTTTAACCATAGGCTGAAAAAAAAAAAATGAACTGATATATATATATGTATAGAGAGAGAGAGAGAGAGAGAGAGAGAGAGAGAGATAATACATATTTTAAGATGTGACAAAAGTGTCAATTTTCTATGATGTGCTTTAATTTATGATTAATTTCATAAAAATGCTACTTTTCCAGTAGGTACAATGATTTGTATGATTAAGTGAAGGGCGTGCACATAATTGAAATGGGTTACAACATCTGTGTTTAGGCAAAATGTCTCAAGAAAACAACTTGGGGTTTTCAGTCCGTGTTTTAAAAAAAATAATATTTAATTTTAAAGGATTTATTGGCTTAATTGAAAGTTTCAAGGGCATTTTTGCCAAAACATCAAATGTTTGTACAGAAGACAAAAACTTTGTGCAAAAACAACCCAAAAAAGATATTAAATACATAAAAATATTTAAAAAATTACAGCAAGGAGCTCAGGGCCATATTGGAAAAGTTCACAGGGCCTTTTTGTACAACAGGAAATAAATGTGCTGCCTCCCTCCCCGTCCTTCACCCCGGCACTTGTCATCAAAGCCCGACACAAGTGCTTTAAAGCAAGTGCGAGGAGGTTGCCATGGCTACAAAGTCACCCCGTGGGTTTGGCTACCTCAATTGAGGTTGTTTTGTTTCCCTCTCTCTCCTTCTCCAGCGAGAGGGAAAAAAAATTCACGTGGCCAAAACTGTCAGAGCCGAGCTTTCATGACTTCAAAGGCCGCAGGATCCACGGGAGCTCAAAGACCTTTGTCAGTGACAACGTGCTGCTTTTCCTCCAGCTCCGTTCACATTCACTATTTGCCTCTAAGACTTCAGCAACAAGGACAATCAGCCTAGAGCGATCTGTAAATGTCCTCTGCTCTTACGTTATATCACTCCTGAGCACATGAAGCCATCACACTGACACAGGACAATTTTCACTAAATGAAGGTTTTGATCCCAGTCCAGTGAAGTGAATAGATTCTCAGAGACCGACATGGCAACAGTGGGACTATTGTATGGATTTACTGTACCATGGACTGTATTCATGACGCACGTATCCTTCATGGCATCACAAATGGGCTTGTTAGCTCACTTTTTGAATAATTCTTTTCAGTTGCTATGAAAGATTTCTTAAAGGCAGAAGTGAAGATATTTAGAAGTGAGGTTGGAGCAAAGTTTTCAAATGTATAGAGTCTGCGCTTGTGGCTAATGAAGTAGCTTCTAGCTAGTTAACCATAGTGTTTCCCACAGAAGGACATTCAATTTGTTGTGATAGTTTTTATATTGCTGACTTAAGAAGCTAACAAAAGCTTGTAGAACATAATGAACTGGAGAGCGACGAGTACTCAACCAGTGACTTGAGACATCCAATATTCTCATCGCTACAAATCCTTCCTGTCTTCTGTACAATGAGAAGGAAACCACAATCCTGATTCCATACAGGGGACAGACGCCACAAATGAATAAATGTCAGGTATGGCGAGCACAGACACAGATACCTGCTGATTAGATATGAAAAATAGTAGAATTTGGGGTAGTGTAATTATGCATCACTGTAGGTCAAACCCCCCCCCCCTTTCAGATAAGAGTCCAAAACTGTTTCTTCTACCAGGCTGTAAACATGTTTATTCCGGCTGTAAAGTTGAACATTTTATGATGGGGCTCTATGAGGATTGAATCGCTTTAGGACACAGCCTCAAGTGGACACTCCAGGAACTGCAGTTTTAAAAGTCCAAAAGATTGCCGCTCTGTATTCACTCATGGTTGGCTTAAAAACAACCAATTAAAATCCCCGTTTTTGGGGACTTGTTACGCTCTGCAGAGCATTGACTCGCTCACATTAGAACATAGATTAATCCGACGTGCTTTTATGACCTGTGAACCCACTTTGCTCACTGTATCGACTTCTCTTCTCCAGGTCACGGCTTCAAGTTTGGACCAATCATTGGCAAGCTCCTGAGTGAACTCAGCCTGGGTGAGGTGCCCTCTTATGACCTCTCCCCTTTCAGAATCAGGCGCTTCCATGGAAACACCAAGTCGGCCTTATAGATCCAGGACCGGATTCAGTGACATCATCAGATCCTCATGAAGTCTTAATTAAATCTAACTGTAGCTTGATTTGTCATTCAGGGCTTGACATTAACTTTTTGTGGCTAGTGGTTTTCTAAAGTTAAGAGCCTCAATTTTGGTGTTGAGAAACGTGTGTGTTTGTGCACATTTGATGCACACCAGCTATCATTAAACATTAATACATCCAATATGACCCTGAGCTCCTTGTTGCATACGAAGAAACATACAATGTAATTAATCAACGTTCTTTGGGGTCTTACTTTTTCCCCTCACTTCTGTTTTGGGACAATCAGAAGAGACTGGGTTAATCTGAATGCTCTGACATTTCTCCTCTCGCTGTCATGGAGTGCGTAGAGAGAGAGACTGAATCGAGGAGAGCTGAGGGAGAGGAAATAGGAAGATAATCGGGGGGGGAAATAGTGGTTGGGTCTACAGCAGGAGAAAGAGTTAAAAATAGAGAGGCTCCTGCCCAGATTGGCAGTGTTGGCAGGTCTGCAGATGTCATTTGAGACAACTGCAATTTAAACATACATATGTATACAATTCAACCAGCCAAAATTTCTAGTCGCAGTGACTGTTACAACTCACTGTTGAAATAAACCTGCATAGGCAGGTAATCAAGGATTAATGTCAAGCCCTGTTGTCTTTTTAATTTAGCACTTCGTTGTTTTATCTGATGCTTTATTTGACGTTTTCAGCATTATCTACACTCAGTTTTGAGTCTTTATTGGAGACACAATACAGTGAAAAAAGTCAGAAAATCGTGGAGAGAGACAGTGGGATGACAATGGGGTGCACAAACTAACCACTCGTCCACTGGTGCCCAAGTTATTTGATATTTTTAAGGCAAATATATCGGATATCTATCCAGAGTTGTGTTTTCACAATACCAGAATTTTTAACTTCAGTATGAAACGAGTGAATATTCACTGTGATCAATACCTGTTTTGAAACCAGGGTAACAAAAATAGTAGTAGGCACCCAGTTAATATTGGTAATGTCTTGGTTTTATCTTTCTAAAAAAAAGTAGTCAAGCACTACACACTGTCCAAATTGAACAAACACAGGTGCAACCTTTCAGTACTGAAAGGTTACCCACCTATTTGTGCATTTTAGACGGTCCACTCTTTTTTTTGCTTGTGGCAGCTCTGGTCAAAACTTCTCAAGATCTGACGTTTTCTATTAAAGTTCTGTTACTTTTCAATACAATCACTCATCGAAATGACAGATTTTATCTTTTTAAAACATGTCGTATTGGAAAGTATTGAAAAGTTTGACATTATTCCAGCCTTCAGATCATTCATTTAGTACAATAATTCATAACTCTGTCAAATATAGCAAACAATGATGAACTTGTGATTGGTATGCATGTAGATTTAAACTGTTTCCTAATTTGTGCCAAAATAAAGTAATATAGTGTTGCATTATGTATCTTAAATAAAGATATTTCACATTATTACATTCGTGTATTGATTGATATTTTTTGTGTTAAGAAATGAAAATCAACATTCCTAATCGTCAACACATTCATATCACTACACACTGAAGGTTGAGGAGTGGGATATGTCAAGAATAATTATGCAAATTATCCATAAAAAGAAACACTTATATAGTTAAAAATAATTACAGAGTCTTTTACAGACACATTTTCTTTTAATGATGAAACATCTCTTTTTAAAAACGGGTACTTTTTGTTGTTGTGTTTTTTTCCATGCATCTTTGATGTTCTGCTTCCACGAGTGTTTCCTACTGATAACTGAGGTGAGGCGTTTCTGGATGTATTAAACATTGATAAAGACTGCATAGCATCAGCAGTGTTTTGAAGTGTTCTGAAGCAGTGTGTGGCTCTCAGACATGTGCTGGCTCATCTTGTTGACTTAAAGTAGTCCTGAGAGATGACTTCTGTGCCTTCTGTAAATCCTAAAATAAATATACCAATCCATCCCGTTTTGTCCCAAATGCCAGCAAACCTGTGATACACTAAATATGTCTTTGTTTTTAAACATTAAATATCTTTCTTGTTTTCAATTTTTACTTAAAAACTGTTCCATCCAACTCTTTATTTCCTGACTAAAATAAAAATTTAAATGTCTTGTCTAAATGTGTGTAAACCAATTATCAATCATCAACCAATTACACCGGTTCATTTATTGGCGTTTCCACTTGCAAATGTTTTGAATTATACCAGAATAACTGATCTGTACCATCCTACTTTTTTGAGTCAGGGTACGGCTGGCTGTGGAAACGCAAGCAAGATCAGGATTTAACGTCCCAAACCGTACTGAACCGAACCGGACCACTTGGTGGAAACGGGGCTTATGACATCTGACCAATCACTACACAGATTTGCATTTGAATGAATTACAGAAGGAACAACCTGTAGAAACAGAGAGCTACATGTATCATTAACTAAATAATGCTACCTTCATTCTGACCATAAGCACCGCCTCTGATAACCTGACATTGTTGTACATTTGTAAACTCACCCATCTGTGACAAATGTTAATAAAAAAGGAGCCATAATCACATTGGCTTGTATGATTTCATGCATCAGTAAGTCTCCCAGCATCCCCCATTTTGCCCACTAAATACATGGTTAAAAAGACATCAGCGGTGAGTCGTTTGTTTCCGAATCCAAACCAGCTGCGTGCTCATGCTTGAGGCGGCCTGTTGCCTGGATCTATTTCCCCGTGTACCGGTAAACATTCTAATCACTAATCAGACGGCCTATTACAATAGATACTAAGCAAGGCCATCAGCGGCAATGAGAAAATTATGCAGCGAGACGGCAGAGATCAGCCAGCCATTTGCTCCCTCGCCCCTAAGTGACTTCAGATGGATAGCAAAGGGCCATTATGCAAATAGCAAGAATTAGAAGAACATTAAACATGCAAATGCAAATATTCAACCACCAATAATCATCACATGGATGAATAAAACACTCCCTCTGCAACAATCTGTAGCATGGACAATCCCAAAAAGTCACACAGGAAATTCTGCAGGTGCACAAACACGACACCTGACTGTAGCGATCAGGAAGTTCTCCAAGGTGCATGCATAGTTATTCCCTCTGGTTGTGTAATGGTGCCAGTCCACAGTTCATTCAGTAAATGAGCAGCCTCAAGAGGCGTTGCAGAAGGGAGAACATGTCATCTAGTTCTCATGGAACAATCAACCAAACGTGTGAATGCAAGCTAGAGTTATTCTAATGGGGGGAAAAAACAACTTCAAAGTGAATTACAGCTGCTTTAATTTGTATATTAACATTTCTCATTATCGCTATGTGCAATGTGAAAGGGGTTGCTCATACAAAAAGATGAAACCACTGTCAATTGCAGCAAAGTCTTTGCTATTTTGTTTTGCTTTTTGGACTGAAAGGCTGCAGCAATGAAACAGGCTGTAATGGCTGCAGTGTAAATGTAGCAATCTGAGTGCATCCACTAAAAGTTCTCTCTTACAGACAGATTCCCTACAGACACAGACCTTTTTGTAAAAGTGGAAGATGTTTTTTTTAAACCACGAACAGCCGTTGCATCACTCTCTTTAAAGACAATGGAATCAGAGTCGTTTTTTTTTTTGCAAAGTACGTTTACACATACGAGGAATTTGACTCTGTGTTTTGGTGCAAAATATTTAGCAAAGGACTAAAACTAAAATATTAAGAAGCTATAGAACTGCAGCGCTCCTGCTGACAACCTATAGCCTCGTGACAATAATTTTACCACTAAAACATGGCTGCCCTGTGTTAGTGTGTGTTGGACAGATATTGTGATATTTCCGTAATAAATAATTGAAACAACAACATCACAACAAACTAATAGAACGAGGCAGCAGCCGAACAGTAACTTCCTTGTTCTGCACAGTGTAATGTTTTTTTTTTTTTCTCAATGGAGTCTGGTGGCTTGAAGACAGCAATGTTTTGCATCCTGATTTTTAACTCTGCAGAGATTCCTTCTGTAGCTGTCATTCTGATTTTTAACTGTGATAATAGGCACAAAGTTAAAAATGGACATCTTCACTGATGAATGGGGAATTCTTTTGTAATTTTAAATTTTAGGGATGTTGTATGTAAAATGAGACTGTTACCGTCACTTCCTGAAGAGGTGGGCGTATTTGCACAAACCTTACAGGAGCGAGAGACTTTGATTGGTTAATAAATCATTAAAGCAGAAATCTAGTAAAGCCAAGCTGCTGCAGCCACAAACAACACCATCCTTTTTCTATCTTTGAATATCACAGCAGAATATGAAGAGCTAAACACGAGCACCAGTTTGTCCCAGAGGACCGGAGCCAACAGTAAGACCCGTATCTGAAACCGCTCTTGTCACATTGGAAAGATGGAAAAGGAAAACACAGTGAGGCGGAGAATGACAGCAGAAGTGTTTTCCACACGATCGAGTTTTCAGAGTTTCAACTTTTCTCTCTCTCTCTCTGTCTGTCTGTCGTGAAAAAAGTCTCAGGCAAACACAAGTTTGAGATCATAAGTGACATTTCCCCCAGAATGCAAGCAGACTGGATGCAGCGATGAATATTTACAGGTCGAGTGTTGGCCCGAGGGTTTCTCTGGATCCGACCCAGAGGAGATAAGACAACACGGCTGCCGTTAGCAGTCACTGTGAGCAACTGGGCAACTCCTCCTACACACAGTCTATTTCAAGTGATGCATTGCACCAGAGTTAGCTTAGCTCCCTGAAGAGCTCTTTAATATGTTAGCAAAAGGAGGCCATCTTTGGTTTGGTGTGAAAAGGTTAAAAACACACCTGTGTATCATGGGACGAGACAGCTGTTAAAGTTAAAGCACACTGGAGAGAAAAAAAAAAAATGTTTTCAATGAACAAGCATGTGATTAAAAGGTTTGGTCCTTCTCTATTTTTGGGAGAAAAATACCTGACTTTCTGATATAACAGTTAAGAGTCTGTCAAACATCTCTGGTTTGTTGTAACCTTTTCACCAAATATCAGCCTGCTCAGCTGCAAACAGCAGGAACAGACAGCAGCTCCAGTGAAGCTGCAGGAACAAAAAGCAACACAGTGTTCGTCTTTCTTACTGAACCACACTGACAATAAATACAAACTTCAGTTGAAAAAGTCAGGTTGTGTCTTCAATTGGGACCTAAGATTCTTAAAAGAGTGGACTCTGAGCAAAGGCAGGGACATGAAACTTGTATCTTAGTGAGGATGCGTGGTTGACCCAGTTGCTAGGTATGGCACGTTTTTCAAAAGCTGTGATGAAAAATTAGAAAAAAAGTCAATCATAGAATCTTGTCAGACATTTTGTAATTATGAATACAATGAAATTAACATCTGTGTGATCATTTCTAAAACATGCTTTAGAAGTGTACAGTCTACAGGATGTTTCAAATCACATGCCCACCTGTGCAGCAGCTTCTTAATTAGTGATTGGATGCACCTGTGGAGGTGAGCACATGTAGAGGAACTCAACATGCATGTCTCACTTTGTACTGAAAAAAAGTCAGAGATGTAGAATTAACAGCATTAATCATTTATTTCCGTTCGGCCCAACTATGATTCAATCAAAAATATTCTTCATGTCGTGTGAAGAAGAACATTTCTCCATTTTCTCCTCAGCTTGAGGAACGCTTAAACCTGTTAAAAGTCCTCCTCACTACTCCTCAAAGTTTTACACCAAAGGAGCTCTGTTAAAGGCTGAGAAGCTTTGAGGATAACTTTCATCTTTAAAAAGATCTAGTCTTAACTTTGAGGGGAAATTCTAAGAAAATAACATGTTTCTAAGAATTGTCTCAGAATTTGGTCATTAGGAGCACCTCTTAGTACTTAGGAGTACAGGAGTTACCTGTTGTATTACCTGTTGCATTTTTAAAGCAGGAAGGTGTTGCTGCTGTTTCATAAAAAAAAAAAAATACCTTCCACTAACAAAAAGCTCTCTCTCTGTAGGGATTCTGAGAAGAATAATCTGCGCAGTCAATTTATTGGAGTGAATCCTCCAAAAATGTGAGCCTTTTATTCGTTTATTAAAGTCAACGTTTTGAAACTGAAACATTGGCAACTTATCTTCGTAATTTAGGCTGTGCAGGAGTTTCCTTACAATGTTTTGGCGATTAAAAAGTAATGGGTGCCTGGGGTGCTGATGGCGCAGTGGCGCAGTGGAGGCTGTGGTCCTCCAGGAGGGCGGCCCGGGTTCAAATCCGACCTGTGGCTCTCTTCCCGCATGTCACTCCCTACTCTCTCTCTCTCCCTTATTTCTGACTCTATCCACTGCCCTGTCTCTCAAAAATAAAAATCTTTAAAAAATAAAAAAGTAATGGATGCCTGGGTGTTCTACTTCTATTTTTATAGCTGTGGTATTGAAACACTGAATGATAATGTGAGATTTATTCTTAATTCATATCCAAGTTTAGAATTCTGCTATGAAACTGTGTTTAACATTACCTGTTAAAATGCTGGGATCCATGCAGAACTGTAAATACGCACACTGCTG